GCGCGTGGTATTGTCGTAAAAGCCGTAAAACGGTATAACATAGGAAGAATTTAGCGCCTTCTGATTGGCTGGAATTTGGCAAGATGTCAGCCTCCATGACTTGTAGCCAAAATCCCAAATTATCTACCAAAAACCCTGAGGTCAGCTTAAACTAATCGGTCCACGAACATAAACAGAAAGTAGAACAAAACCGTATTACGTATAGGCCCTACACTGCATATCCTGATACCTGTTAATACTGCCGTATATACGCGGAACGATACGGATACGCAAATCGTATTATCATTTCCTAACTAAACCAAACTCGGCAGCTATAAGCCCAGACCCTCTTATAACTTAAGATTAAGATGAAAATAACACATTTGCACAAATAATTGCAATTACAGTGATATATGTTATAGTAATGAGTAAAATATAGGCTTTCATTTTTAAGGGGCGCGCATCGCGCTCGCCGCTCCACCGGCCGCACCCGAAATTGTGCCATGGTGCGCGCATCATCGCGCCTCATAAAAGTGGTGAAATCGCGCACCAAAAGTATGTCTATTATGTTGAAATAGCGCTCCATAGAGTTCTCAATGTAGGTGGTACAAAAAGGTTAGCAACACACAACAATTTGTGGTGTGTAAGTAACTGAACGTATGGCAGAGGTACAGGTCTGGTTACTACCCTCTGGTTTATATATATATATATAAATATACTAAACAACAGCATCAAATACAGGTACCATATCGGTAGCCACAAGTACCTGCTCGTTTTCTACTATACGTGGCGAGAAGTGTTTTCTGCCGACGTGAAACAGTCGTAGGGCTGCGAGGGGCTACATACGTGGCTACTACGTACAAGTAATTTGGCTAGTTTGTTGATGGATTGTTATGATATTTTGTGCTGAAATATGCAGGTACATGGATTAGAAATAGAATCTCTAAGGATGGAAATCAGAATAAATAAAACAAGTTTAATTTTACATCCGATCAACTCTTTTATTAATCTGTGTGCTAGTGTTGGGTTGTTGGATGAAAAGAATGGAATCCTGACGAAGCCATTGAATGAATGAAGGTGAAGATGAATGATAATCAGTAGATTGACATGACATCCAATTTTCGTTTGGATTTCACTCTAGACTGAGGATTGGTCATGATTCCATCATCACACCCAAGAGGCATGATGGCGAGCCCTCAAGGAGCTCTCCATCATCCCTTTTAAAGGTGTGATTTTTCGTGGAGCTCTCCATCATGCTCTTAAGGGTGTGATTTTTTAGTGGAGCTCTCCATCATGCCTCTTAAGGTGTTGATTATGGAGCGTGAAAAGACCCCCTATGGTGTCCTAGGGGAGTCATTAGTAGTCCTCCTGTACTTTTCAAATCTGAAAGCCTGAAAATATGTGTTTTTCATGGAAAATACATCAGAAAACTTACTTATCCCACGGTTATAAACCAAAACAAACATTTACAAATGGCTTTTGTTCTCTTGTTTTGAAGGTTTACGATATTCTCGTACTTTATCGCGTGGTTTCATATGCTGCCCGCGAGCAGGTACGTTTATGTAAACCCAGGGTACATATATGCTGAGAAGATACAGGTCTGGTACACTTGTGTATACATATATACGTACCTCGGGTACATATCTGTAGTACCTGACACGACAACGACCCCTTCAGCCATAATGACCCATAACTCATAAAAGAGGTCACTTAATATCAAACCTTGATGCTTTTTTATGGCAATGTGTTACCATTTAAAACAAGTGTAAAGTTAAATTATTGCAAGTTGTAAATATATCGGCTACTGTGGCAGAAATCGAAACGGAGAAATCAGTGATTTTCTACTTTTCACATTGATCGACCACCTGTGAGGCTGTGTGCAAAATGGGTGAATGTTTGTGAAACACATGTTAGTACTTACTGCGGCATATCCATGACTAACTAAAGCCACTAAATTGGTAAAATGTTTTGTGCACCTTGAGATATTGTGAGAAATTACGAGGTTACCATCGCAATTTCATGCGAAATGCGCCAGTGGTGTGTACTGCATGATGTCACTAAGCTACGTAAACGTGTTAACGAACCTTCAGAGCATGTAAAGAGCTGTAAATGCTATTTCGGACCACGCAGCAATTTCAACTATCACTTGCAGATGACAGCTATAGAAGTGTTGATGCTGATGGATTCTGGCATAATGAATACCGTGAAAAGGATGGTTGTATCATGTCTCGGACATCATCAGTGTTTAAAGGATCCACGGCTCACTATACACATGTCTGCGGGCAATCAAAGTGCTCTGAAAGCTCACATGCATCGTTATATGCAGAAATGAGTATGTACGGAGGTGGCACCTATTGTTAGCCATAGAATAATAATGAAAATGAAAAATCCATAAAATTTCGTATATAAAAGCTTGAGTGTATCCTTAATTTTTTTCAGATTGTCATATTGACATAGTGTAATTGCACGACCAGCCATGGCCACCGGTGGAAGCTATGGTGATGAACTGCCACCCAGCTATTTCGAGGCGGTGAAACTTTCAGGAGCACTAGGAGACAGTGCTGCCGGCCCCCATCAGGATGCGTCCGGCAATCCCTACGTCTTTGCCCCAGGAGATCCCAATCCTTACAGGTGGATCGGCGAGCAGGAGACCGGGGTCTATTTCAAGGATTTTGTCCCGACATCAGTGGATCCATATAACCTCGCATCCAACGAGCCGTTTAAGTAAGTTTCATGCTCGTCTTTATGGTGCGTTTACTTCCTACTGACGATCCAGTCCTTGTTGCTGTTGACATATTATTGCTGTATGGTAATACTATGCAGGAACACAATTAAGTCTATGGAAATAGTGTCTGGTTCTCCTTTATACATGTAATAATACTATGCAAAAACACAAGTCTATGGAAGTCGGCCACTTCTCTCGAGTATGATAATACTCTGCGTGGGTGCAAGTCTCTGCAGATAGAGTTAGCTACTCCTCCCAGAGTATCATAATAATTAGCAGGGATTCCAGTCCAGGGCCGTAGCCAGTGTGGGTGGGCGGCAGTTGCCCCCAGAGAAATATCAATGCAGTACATGGTCAATGGCTGTCACCTTCCCAGAACACAACACGCACGGGGCTTTGCCCTCTCCCCCCCAGGTTAAAATGGATTAGCTATGCTCTTGCAGTCTCTGCACATAGAGTTAGCTACTCCTCCTAGCATATAATGAATATCTGTAACCTGTAACAGTAATTGTATCCCCCGCGACGAAGTCGGCGGGGATACTATGGTTTCATGTCTGTCCAGCCGCTGCTGCTGCCGCAGGCACTCCCCTCCGCTCTATAACTCGACCCCTAATTGACCTAGCATGACCAAACATGGTCTACTTACACATCTTTGGGAGAAGGTGCGCAGCGTACCAAAACCACGTCACTGCGGCTTTTATTTGACCTTGACCTTGACCTTAACCTTGATCATATTTCCCTTCCGCTCTATAACTCGGCCCCTAATTGACCGTAGCGCTACCAAACTTGGTCTATACTTACACATCTTGGGGAGAATGTTGTCGCTTACTGAAACCACGTCACCTGCGGCTTTATTTTGACCTTAACCTTTTAGCCTTTGATCATATTTCTCTCCGCTCTATGACTCTGGCCCCTAATGACCTTAGCGCGACCAAACTTATCGGTATACTGTAACACATCTTGGGGAGAAGGTGTGTCGTGTACAAAACCCAGGGTTACTGCAACCTTTATTTGAATTGACCTTGACCTTGACCTTGACCGTGACCTTATCATTAATTTTCCTTCCGGCCTCTATAACTCAAGCCCCTTAATTTACCTAGCCTACCAAACTTGGACTATACTTACACATTTTCTGGGGAGAAGATGTGCGCAGCTTACCAAAAACCAGCGTCACTACGACTTTATTTGACCTTGACCTTGATCATATTTTCCTTCCGCTGTATAACTCGGCCCCTAATTGACCTAGCGCTACCAAACTTGGTATACTTACACATCTTGGAGAGAAGGTGTGTCGCGTACCAAAACCAGGTCACTGCGACCTTTATTTGACCTTGACATTGACCTTAATCATATTTCCCTTCTGCTCTATAACTCGGCCCCTAATTTACCTAGCGCTACCTGATATATTTCATTCATACTAGATCACGGGGGATACATGTAGTTGGCGACAACTGCCCTTTCTAGTTATAGTTATGAGACTGCGATCATTACGCTGGTTAAGAGCAAGCATGATATGCATCATAATTTTCTGTGCACACAAGAAAAATGTTGTGTTAACATCCTCAGCTATTCATGTGTTTTATTGTATCTTTCAGTAAGCAGGTTGAGGGGGCTAATGATTGGTTGTCACAACAGCCGGATATTGTAATTGTATCATGTGAAACTGTCGAGTTCAAGGTATGATATATCTGAATCGGCCATGGACTTATGCTGTGTGTCGTAAAAAATACTCTACTCTATAGTACTACGTAGAGATGTGTTCATTATTGGTTGTGAGCTAAATGTTTTAGGGCATACTAATATATGTGTAGGATCTGTATATTTATCTGTATCTATCTCTATTAGTATTATACACCCCCTTTATGAAACCATCATGTTTGTAATATCCTATGTAAGAATACGTTTTGGTTTATTAAGTTATTTTATGGTAAGATGATGCAACTATATTGACCTATAAACGACAGTTTTTGCAACCAGTTGCTATCTTTTTTATGCTGAAATTAGCTGCTTGGGCTGTCACCACGTGGCAGCAGGTGACAAGAGCCAGAAATGAAGGCCAAAGTAACTTTATTCACCTTGGCAAAGACAGCTAGAACAGTTGTCAAATCAAACTACTTTTAGTTATGATAAAGTTACGGTTCACGTTATCTTGAAACCTGGTGAAGTTGTTATTGCAACACTGTAGTCTGTGGATTACCGAAGCTAATGTTTAGATGGTAAGCGCTCTGTTCTTCGTAGGTGAGGAGTTCGGGCAAGATCGATCTCCAGCGCACCAACTACCGGGAAAGCGACGATGGTCGAACAGTCATTGCATACGGTCTAAGGTAGTGCCACTTGTGCCACTCGTATGTGTTAAAAGCATGCTTGCGTGTGTAGAAGCAATTGACCTATAGACTTGAGCCTATTGTCACAGATCCATGAAGCTGCTAGTATCACTATTGTTGCCTTTCTACATGATGTGACTTGTGTAGCTCTGTGTACCCCCTGCCAAAGACCCGTAATCAACCTAAATGTATGCACCCTACAGTAAGGCCACAATTAAAAAAATCTTTGTTTGCCCTCACCCGACCCAGGCTGAAAAGTTTGGGTAGGTAGGTAGGCTTCTTCTTTTTTTTCAAATTCAGCATGGTGTCTACCAGCTCGGGTGTGCTTGTGTGTAGATACCTTTTATGTTGAATGTTTGTTTTGCTTGGTACATATAACGTATTGCCTACAGATTTATATAATGTACAGTGATACCATTTGAAAAAAAAAGAATGGGAAAGATCAATAAAATTTCTTGAGTTGGCCCCTTTTTGGCGGGTCGGCCGGGTGAGGGCAAACAAACAATATTTTTATTATGGCCTAAATGTATGCGCCCTACAGTAACTGTGCATAGTACCTTTCGGTCACTACTTAGAATAGTTGCCACCAGGTGATCGTTTTTCTGTATAACGCTTATATTTACATGAACTAATTTTATTATATTTACTAACATTTATAGGCTGTGGCTGCGTTCGCCTGGGAAGCAGGAGGGTCGGCATGGACCCCAGATTTCGTACAGAGACATCATACCAGCGACAAGTTACTCGCCTGATCACAGCGGGGAAGATGAAGATCTGTCGATGGCACTGTTGCAGTTTAATAAGAAGAGCATCTATGAGGCTCTACCAGGTTACCTAAGTTACCATTTACCAACACACACGCGCGCGCGCACGCACGCACATTGCTTCATTAAGTTTTTCTCTATTCCCCTTTATCGCTTTATTTTTGCTATTTCTTTCTCTCCCCTTTCTCTTCTCACTCTCTGCTCAGCTCGTCTCTCTCTCTCTCTCCTCTCGTCTCTCTCCTCTCGCTCTTCCATCCCGTCTCTTCTCTGCTCTCTCTCCTCTCTCTCATCATCCTCTCTCATCTCTCGTCTCTCATCTCATCTACACACACACTATTCTCTCCCCTTTCTCTCTCTCTCTGCTCCTCTCTTCTCTCTCTCTCTCTCCCTCTCTCCTTCTCTCTCCCTCTCTCTTTCTCTATCTTTTTGTCATATTATATCTCTCTTTTCTCTCTTTCTCTCTCTCGTTCTCTCTCTCTCCCTCTCTTTTTCTCTATCTTTTTGTCATATTCTATCTCTCTCTATCTCCCCTTTCTCTCTCGTTCTATCTCTTTCTCTTTCATCATCATCATCATCATCATCATCTCTGTTGTTTCCCTCAGGTCGTGTGATCAGTGCACAGACGGTGAGGAGAAGCTACATCTATCTGGGGGGAAGACTGTGGACCCTGAGAGAACAGTCAGTAAGGAGAGGGGAGACTCACGCACTGTCTACCTAAACCTCTTCCGTATCTATTTCGAGGTGAACACCTCCTCTGCAGCCGTGCAAGGAGAATTGGGTATGGTTTTCTATTTTCATTATTATTATTGTATCCCCCGAACGAAGTTCGTGGGATACTTATGGGGTTTGTGCATCGTCGGCGCCGCCGTCCGTCGGCCGCGGTGTGCGATGCAGCCAGCGCTTGCGAGATTTCTCTTGTGAACGCTCTACGCGGCTGCAGATTCTTCTCGGACGATCATCGTTCAAAATTTCGCCATGAAGGGCGTTGTCGTAAAGCGAGAGACGGCCAATCGTTTTTGGGTGTGGGCGGCGTCAGTGCGTTGTTCCTATGGTAAAAACATTTGTCGGCGCGAATCATTCTAGAAGCTGTAACTTCTGCAGTTTTCGACCGCGATTGTCATGAAAGTTTATATTTGTATTAAAAATTTGTATATTTAAATTTATATTTAAATTTACATTCAAAAGAATTGGTGGTAAAAATTTAAATTTTCAATTATAATATTTGATATTGAATCCATATTTATAATTTATATTTTAAATTATGCTTGTCATGAAATGATATATTAGTACATATAAATCTATGACATGTTATAATCGGCCCTGTGTGCTCAAATTCTGCATGCCGAATATCGGTACGTGAAAAACGCAACCAAAGTTACAGGGTTCATGACAATCTTCCAGCAAAAATGTTCTTACCATGGCATACCAATTTAGACTCGCCAACCAAAAACGATTGGCGTCTTCGCTTTACCATAACGCACCACTGCAGTCATACCCATACCCCCCCCCGTGTGTATTCCATATACTTGCACATCTGAGGCAGACCAGTTGTCTAACAAACCTTTGTCTTTGTGACTTATTTAACTTTACCTGCCTTCTACGTCCTTACAGAGATATTCCATTCATACTAGATCACGGGGGATACATGTAGTTGGCGACAACTGCTCGTTTCTAGTTATTATTGTTATTATCAAGAGCTATTAATATTTATTAATACCTGATAAAGTGCTATAAGCTTTTGTTATTATTAATAGTAGTAGCAGTAAGAGTAGTAGTATTTACTGTTGTGTATTATTGTTATTTACTTTAACTATAGCTTTTAATGGACAGGGTAAATCTGCTAGGAAAATGCAATTTATGATGTCTATAGCGCAATAATGTGACTTGTATTTGGGAGAGCTTGCAATGGGAATATTGATTGTGCAATTTATGTTATATATATTCTGGAGGTATCAGTCTGCGAAATTAACCACTGGCCCGGTATCCGAGGCCAGTAAATTTTCCGTGGGGCCAATGAAACTGGTAAATGAACAAGCCCGATGGGCCAGTGGAAAAAATGGAGTAAATGGTCTATTAATGATATTTCAGCAGCTTTATGTGATGATCTGTCTGAGAATTTACCAAAATTCTCGATATTTTGTATGAAACTTTACCGATATTTACCGATAGGGCATCATATTCCCGATCTGAAGTAGGGAAAGTAACTAGTCAACACCATGCGTGTTTGTCACCGCTAGAGATCGCAACAACTTCCGGTTCGGTTTCTCTTTTCATAATATGATGATCATTGATTCGGGCCTGTAAAACCTAGTGTGGGCCAGTGAATTATACATTTCTACAGGCCCGCTGGGCCAATGAGGGTGGAAGTTTTTCGTGCAGACTGAGGTATAATAGGCATATAACATTGTCATGTGGATTGATTCGTGCTCGAAAGAGCTCTGAACCATATAAGTCTATGACTTTAAATTCAAGATGTAGATTCTGTTGCAATGTTGTTAAGTAGTCATTGTTTTCCCACAGCATCTGTAGTTACAGGCATACGTGAGAATTTCCTGCGGTTCTGCAGATTTCCCCTTTTTAAATTATTTTTCCAATCATAATGAGAAATTACTTAATTCGTGTAGATCTGTTGAGAACGAAGTGGGGGGGGGGGTTCAGGTTTGTCAATGATTGAATAATGAATTGACCCAATGGAGTTTTATATGCTCTGGAAAGCTCAGGATTGCTCTCCTGTATTCATTTTTTTCAAAATGTTCTCGGGGGAGGTCCCCCCCCCCCGGACCCACCGTCGGCGCGAGCGCCTTGGGTGCTCACTCAGCATGGATACTCAACTGAAAAATGTTTGAATCACACACTTTTTCCACTGTTTTGGTCATTCACTGCTTTTATGTATGTACAGTTGAGGAACAGGTGGCAGGTGGCAACAGCTATGGTGATGTTACATATCTGCCTCCAGATTTCTGTGGAAGCGTTGACTTTATATCTTAATATGTTGCATTGAATTTTTGACAACAGTTTGCATATTTTGTTTAGGGTTTAAGGACTTCAGTCCAGCTGAGCATTCACACACCCAGGTAAGCTTGGAACTTCAGCTGCAATCATGTTACGCGATGGCTCATTCTGTGATCTTTAACAATTAGTTGCTAAAGTTTAGACCATGTTGCGTTGAGTGCTCTACACTTTGCAGAAACTCTGCATGGTCTGAATCCACGCAATTGTCTTCAACCATGAGCCAGCGTTGTCTCGTGTTTCATTGCAGTTGCTGGCGCAGTTAACTCGATGGCTGCAGACTGGGGAGCTTTCTGGATGGCAAGTCACTAATCTAGAGACGGTCACGCAGAAGATCAAGCGAAGCGGGGGTAAGATTTATGAATCGTAGATGTTGCTTCACAATAATCGCATGTCGTTTCATGAGCAATGGCCGCCATGATTTACCGAGCAATTTCTGAAATATAAACCTCTGAAGTGCATGGATTTGCATTTGGCTGGATGTACAATGATTGTTGAAGAGTCACTCATGCCCATGCTGATAAAAACATTGTAGGTGAATATTGCCAGTAGATGGCGCCTATAGGCTGCAGATCTGAGAAATCGTGGCACAAAAAAGGACTGGGGCCCGTTGTCAGAAACAAAATTAGTCTTAACATTAGTCTTAACATTAACTTCCACTCGTTAACCATTGACAGAAACATCGTAATGTTACGAGAATGAAAAATCCTTGCAAATAGCCTCTTAACATTACGAGAGCCCAGACCCTCTCGTAACTTTAATATTAAGTTGAAAATAACACATTTACACTACGAATTACAATTATAGTGATATTATATTTTATAATAATGAATAAAATGTGTGCTTTTCTTGCAAAACACGTCAAAATCATTAATTATCTACCGCTAATAAAACAAAACAATACATTTACAAATGGCGAATGGCATTTGTTCTCTTGTTTTAAATGTTTACCATGCTTGCCACAACTCTCGCGTCTCGCGTTACAGTGTGAGAATTTGTCTTGTTGTGCAGAATAAATTCATGACCACGTCATTTTTCATCAAATATTATTTACATGTGGTTAGCCATCATAATATGCATAAATTACTGTGATGTACAATAAATCTGAATGAGTAACTTTACGATGTTTCTGACAACGGGCCCCTGGACGATCTGCAGCCCGGATATACGCGCGAAGCGCGAACAGCGCCACCTGGTGGCGCCTTTTCATCCAAATCGCTGCTCTGTATTTAGAACAATTTCCACGGTTATGTCAAATGGGCCTCTGATCGGTCAATTGAGGAGTTGTGGCGCTTGCAGAAACCTTTCGACTATGCACGTAGGGCGAGAATAAATCCAATGGTCGTAATTGCTAATTTTTTTGGTTGGCGCGTTAGTTTTTCTTCTAGAAAAGCGATTTCGAATTTATTTAATTTCACGCCCTGAACTTATTCTCGTACATATCGCGTCCCATAGATGGCGCGACGAGGCTCTCTTCGAGGGATTTTGCAAAGAATTTTCCTTAGACTGCCCCGCGGTGGAGAGTTTGACACGCTCCACTAACTATAACTTTAGTGTAGCGAAACATACTTGGCCGAGTTAAGGCCCGTACGAGTCTAGCTGGAGTCGTGACGTGGGCTTTTAATTATCGTAGCCATGTTGGTTCTCTTCGTGTTCATTGGCTAAGCCCGTTGATTGATGTTTGTTTAGACTGAGAATTGCCACTAGCGGCACATTAAGACTGGTATTACATTCCACACCTACGGCTACGAATACTTCTATTACTACAAGTACATGTTACAATAATTACTACTAAGTACTACTACTAGTACTAGTAGTAGTAGTACTACTAAGTTACCAGCACTACTAGTACTAGTACTATAGTAACTACCAGGACCGCAGGAGCTAATAGTAATAGTAATAATGACGAACTCTGTTACTAGTAATTAACTTACTAATAATGACGAACCCTAACCATAACTCTAACCTATTATAATTGAAATATAATATTATATTATATTGATGTAAATGACTGGTTTATTGCCCATCCATACCCATTGGCCCATATAAATTAAGCCCATGGTTCCTCTATCCTTGAAACCACTATACTACTAACTAACTACGACAACAAGAAACGGCTCTTGCTAGTTAAAACCCCTAGCTATACTAGACACAAGGCACTTGAAAGACTTCAATAAAAATATACTAACTAAAAGACAAATCTATTACTACGAAATCTAATTTCTAAGTAAGGCCTACTCTCTTCAAGGAATATGCACTCAAAGAGCATATAAGACACGACTCGCTCGCCACCATCGATACCATCGGAGTGACTAAGACTAAGCCCAGAGTGAGAGAGTGCACTATATTGCTATAGCGCGGGCATGCCCGAACGGCTTCCAACTCCCAGCGAACCCCCTCCATTGGGACACTTGCTAAAAACGTTGCAGCGTGTCGCAAACGCCGTAAATTGTTCCTAGATTCCGACAAACCGTTTCATTACGCAAGAGTCCCGAATTCAGCATCGACAGTCTTTTCTGGTGGATCGCGACACAACCGTTACGAACAGATTACTCCCGTTACAGTTTTTAAACAAAGTGAACACTTTCAAAG